CCCCAAAACCCCAAAACCCCAAAACCCCAAAACCCCAAAACCCCAAAACCCCTGAATTATTAAAAATATTGAAATTTTAAAAATGCTTAATCCAAATGCTTACAGAGTTGAATTATTTTGATAAATCAAAGATCTTGCTTCCTTCTCTCCTGTTGTGCTCAAAGGAGTAGCTCCAAAACTGGAAGTATGCTGCTTCTCCACACTCTCCCCTCTGCTTTGAGAACTTATACTCGGAGCTCTTTTTCATATACTTCTTGATTGCTTCGAACTACAAATAGACTGGTTCTTGGTTAATTTTCCGCTACCCAAAAGATGTTGAATTTCTCTTGTCTTCTTCTCAGGAGTCATCACCTGATTAACAGTTGGCCCTTCATCCTTCTTACTAAAAGTCAATCTCTCACCCGACCCAGTGATGACCTGTTCAGAACATTTTACTTTCATAAACTTATCAAAAGCGGTAGTTAGCTTGCCAAATTCCTGATCAGACGAATTTGAAACCTTCTTACCAGAATTAGACTTGCTTCGACTTTCTGATTTATTCCAGTTAAATTCTTCTTTAACAACACTGTTTTCACGAGAATTTGAACAATTTCCAAAATTGTTCTGAGTAGTTTCCGAAAAATTCTTGCTTTCATCAATTTCCTCCGGGATATTCCCCAATTCAAAATGAGGGACGTTGGAATGACCATCGAAATTTATTGAACTTTTCACTCTGTTTCTGGCAAGCTTAAACTCGTTCTGTCTTTGCAAATAATTCTGCTTAAAGGAAGGGGTGGCTCCATTTACCTTTCCAGAGCCATTGCTTACATCTTTAGAAGACTTTTTCATCATTGGAGATAGAAACTCCAAATTGTCAAGGATCATCTCTGATTCCTCAATTGAGAGATTGTTGCTAATATCGAATCCCTCCTCAATGTTTGTACAATCCTTAACCGGCACATCTGATAGCGAATCGTCAATATTAAGCATTTCCTCATTGATTTCCCTCTCAGAAAATAAATCGGCTTCTATTCCATAAAGGGAGGGAGATTCAGGCATCATAAATTTATCCCTCTTATTCACTCTCTGAGTATTAACCTTCTTTTCATCTGTGCTATTGACCTTCTGAGACACGAGGGCCTCCTCAAGCTTGTTAGAAAAAGTAGAGAAGAAGTTCTTCATAATCTCACTTGTCTCGCGAGCAGAATCATTAGTTTGAAACCTCGTATCCTGTGTAATACCCCCACTGGCCACATGTTCATTCTTCAGGTCTATACTCTGATTCTTTTCTATATTCAGCCCAGAATTTGAAATGTTAAGCGAGACCGATAACTTCTTCCTGTTCTTATACTTATTATTAATCTCTTTCACAAGCTCGCTAACCTCACTATCTCTTTCTTTCAGTTCGTTCTCAAGGAATGAATTCTGAAGAAGCACAGATCCCTTCTGTTTCTCCATGTTAACTGTCTTCGATTCGTAAGAGATAAAACTGGCGCTCACATCATTAATTTGGGATTCTTCAAATTCTTTCCTCTTCTCTAGTTCCTTTTTGCGGCGAATTAAGGACTTGATTTCATGCTCAATGCTGGTTTTGAGGCCTTTCATTGTCATTTTCAGCTCTATTTCACTATTAATACCTTTATGGTACCCTATCAGCATGCTGCGATTCGAAGTATTCGAAGAGTTCAGGTTTTCATCAATACTATTCTTTCTGATTCAGTTAAATTTCGGACCTTTCATATGTGGGAGAACCATGCTTAAACTTCGGTGATGCAGAGGCTTGGTATTAGGGGTCTCTCTCTGCTCAGACTCACCAGTGTTGTTTTTAGCAAGGAAAGAAGTTAGCCTGGTTCTCTTAATCCCGATTTCCTTAAGAACATTTTGCTTTGACTTTATCTTCTGAGATATGCTCTTAATTTGGTTATCCTATAGATGTTTAAAACGCTCCTTACATAATTAAGTAAAGTCTTTTTGATATCAGATGTAATCTCAAAAGGAGTTGGAACTGACATGGGTGATCTTGAGGTTTTGGCTCGCTTGAATCCTATAACCACAGCGGTGAGCACTTCCAGAAAGCAGCGCCTCGAGATTTACCTGCATTTAAATGGCTCAACTGATTGTATTCTTTGAGAATCCTCTGATATTTAGCTTCATTTGCATGCAAATAATCATACATTTTTGATGCTTTATATTGTCCCTTGAGCCTTTCATTTTGTTCCAAATTGGAATGCAGAACTCCGAGGTCCTTAACAAGTTTTTCTGTGACAGAATATATCAACTCCGCTAGCTCAACCTGGTGATTCCGCTGTAGATTCGTAAAGATATCCTGGGTATTGCTCAGTAAACTCTTCAGAAGGTTCTCATACTTTTGCTGATTATTAAAGTACTTATCAAGCCGTGGCTTGATTACCTCTATATATAAGAGCATTAATTTACCTTGAATTTGAGTGAGAATTTCACTTCAGTATTTCTTAAATTTGTTTCTTTTGTCTCGATTTTTCTCTTGCAGTTTCTTGACAAGTTTTATTAGCTTGACTCATTTTGGTCACTTTTTGGACCTTTGGAATACATCACTGCTCTTTTTGAACGGGTTGTTCTGCGGCGAAAGGATATCATTAAGACCTAATTCTGAGCAGTAACCAGCTCCAGATGGTCGGGAAAAAATAACTCTCTTTGGTTTTACATCATTTTGAGAGACATCATCAAAGCTGATGTCTCCGATACTCTTATTTACAGAGTTTTTGGATGATTCAAGTTTAAAATTGTGCATATTCTCCATCATTAATTTTCTTAAATTTATTCAGATTTTAAATTAGAGACTATAAAATAGGGGTTTTGGGGTTTTGGGGTTTTGGGGTTTTGGGG